TGTGTGTGTGTGTTTGTGTGTGTGTGTTTGTGTGTGTGTGTGTGTATGTGTGTGTGTGTGTGTGTGTGTGTGTGTGTGTGTGTGTGTGTGTGTGTGTGTGTGTGTGTGTGTGTGTGTGTGTGAGGTAGAAGAAGAATTGTACACCATAAAAATGGCTACGTATGTAGTTGGGGTAGATATGTTGAATGCCCGGCCAGTATGACCTTTGAGCCACTACAGTTTCAGTCATTAAAATGCGTTAAACAGTATTTGAGGGAAAGAAAACCTATAAGTGAGTGAAACAAAAGACCTCAGTACAGGCACACCCAGTCCCCCAACCCCAAGTCTGCATACCTGCCACATCCTCAACCACTTAACTTACTCACACAATCATCTTACAACATGTTCGCCAACCCTCGTATCACAACGCACGCACGCACACACACACACACACACACACACACACACACACACACACACACACACACACACACACACACACACACACACACACATCACATTCTTCTTTCCCCACCATTATGTCTACGTCAGCCATCATGGATCCATGCGCATGCTTTCATACATAATCCATCCTCCCACCATTCACCAACATCCATCGAACTATAACTATATCCGCCCTCATGTATCGGTATTCGTGCTTTCATACATACATACACCCCCCTACCATTCCCCTACATCCATCGCAGTATAACTATGACTATAACCGCCTTCGTGCATCCGCACTTATGTTCACATTGCATTGCATATGCATCGAATTACACGTTTAACATATCGTAAATATTTTACAACATGTACAAATTATATATCAGCAAACAGAGATTATTATAACGCAATAGATTTCATCCGTCAAAACATCACAGAAAGAGGGGCAGCCTGGAATTTTACAATGGCATCTGAATGCACTAAGACGTTCAACTGGTCAGGAGGTGAGAGTTGCGGAAGATTACGGTAAACTTCAGTTACAGATCTCCATAACGAATATCTAAAGTATGAATAAAGATCACAGCTTGCTGTGACGTCTACTTCATGCCTGCAGAATTAGCAATGTCCTTAGCTCTAAATTGTATGTCTAAATGCTTATGTAGACAAAGACCCAAATGTATATAGGCATGACCATATTATATTCTACGCAAATATCACCACATTTAAAAACAAAGCTAGATTGAGTCTTTGAAGGGCATTAAGAACTGATACACACAAGGAAAAATATTTATGGATGTCAACGGAGGAACACTGCGTTTCGGAATATATATACTTTCTCCTTCATCAGGTGCATATTATTAAATGCTATGAGGCAGAGAACATATATTTGTACCTGTAAGAACAACAAACTTAAAAAGATAGCAAAGAAGGGAACGCAACAAGGGAAGCCAACAGATAACTGGCATGGCGCTGATTACCCCGCCTCCCGTTTGCCCATTGTCCATTTCCCATTACCAATCATTCATTAGTTAAGTTTTGGCTTTAATTTGTCCATTGATAATCAACCATCAACGTCTATTATCTCCACCCTAAAAATATGTAGTTTACTGAGAAAGTGGTATCCAAATATAATGTGTGTTACTGTTGACCACTTTCTTAAAGGCATTGTTGGTTCAAAGCTTTCGGTCATAGAAGCCGTGCCATTTTTCTCTTGTCAGAGGAGTACACAAAGTATACGTCATCTGGACTAACATTTTTGGTTCGGTGGCTGGGTTAGATCGCCAACTTTGTGTTCTGGCGATTGGGTGCCTCACTCACAGTGTGGGTTCAAATCCCGGACGGGACTCAACCCAAGAAAGTACGAGAATCTGTACTTTACTCAGAAAGTGTTATCCCAATTATAACATTTGTTGTCAAGAAAACACAATAAATGTATATTCGGCTTTGGATGGGTAATGATATCACAGACATATATGGATATTGATGATGACTTGGAGGAGCTTCGTAACGCACGTCTTCTCAATTCAGGGATTGGTAAATCCAAATATGTGTGTGCGCGTTCGTGCGTGCGTGCGTACGTGCGTAAATGTGGGCCTGTTGGATGTTACATAAACATTCATCTTGAGCGGGATGGTAGTTCGAGTTGGATTAGCATGTTAACTATATGATCTTCTTTAGGCAGAGAATGCCGCGCATGAAATTCCTAGGTACATGGGGCCTTTTCGTCCCCAGGAATACCCACAGTGGAGACTTCAATGGGGATAGGGTGTACACAATGTGCTACCTGGTAGATTGTGTGTCATCAGACCGGACAACGTTGGTCTTTGACTGATTGTGGCGTAAAACACACTTATTCATTTACTTATATCGGAATTTGAATGTTCATCTTGATTGTTATTGTTGAACATGTAATATATTTTTAAAGAAATAAAACAGTGACATAATAACTACAACTTTATGTGAGCGAGAGTAGCTTTTTTGGAATGAGATGAATAAGTCTTATAAAGTTGTAAGCTTCTTCACAACCGTGTAACTATGAATTGACTTTATTGGGTAATCAAAAAAGAGATAGGACCTAAACTAGCCAAATTTCATACGATTTCACTTGTCCACCATCTTGGATGCAAAGGCGAAAACATTTCAGCGCGTTTGAAGCCACTGAGAATGCCCCCTGCAGAGTTGGCCGAACATTCTGCGGTGGCGCGGCTGAGTTGACCAGAGGCTATCAGCAGTATTTCCTGTGGAGGTTATTTAGGTCAGTTGTTTGTGTGTGTGTGTGTGTGTGTGTGTGTGTGCGTGCGTGCGTGCGTGCGTGCGTGCGTGCATGCGTGTGTGTGTGTGTGTGTGGGGGGGGGGGGGGGGGGGGGTGAGATTGGGGGGATAGATGATAGATTTAGCAACATGTAAGGTCATCTTGAGTGGGAGGGTATTCGCAGATGGATTAGCATATGAACTATGATTCTCGTTAGGCAGAAAATGAGGATCCACGATGTTCGACCTGGTAGAAGTGTGTTATCAAACCTCACATCATTGGTTTTTTGACTGACTGTAGCGTCAAAACAAACTCATTCATTTACTTGAACTGAATGTTCATCTTAACTGTTATGGATAGTCACGGAGCCATGATCCAGAGAACAGGGTGCCATTAGATAGAAATAAACTAAGTAATAATAGGATTACCAGAAAAACCGGGTTTTACACACAAGCCAATAAACTTCGCTCATTAACACCAGAGTAAGTCAGTACAAGATTGAAAACTGCCCCATAATTATGTATGACATGCTTGTCGGGTATTGCTACATATATATGTGAAAACAAAGTTATTAAAATGACGAGCAAAATTGATGAAAGTTAACAATAAACGTGTATACGTGTTATATCGTCACTGCAAAAATAATGATTGTTTGTCTTTAGTATTAACATTCAAATACGTTATATCTGTATTAGCGTTATTGTCTTTGTTCCACCGGTGAGTCACCGTTAGCCGTACTATCTCGTAGTATAATTGAATTCTGAAGACATCACGATACAGTTTTTACGATGCATCACGTCTGCACTAGCGCTTGATAACAGCCTTGTGTTTGGGTGTTTCAGTGGTTTAAATCGCTGCTCTTGATATTGTTGATTAAACTTTGATACTATGAAGAATATAATGTTATGTGAGAGGTTGACTTTAGAACGGTAACATACTAATAGTATATAGGATGACATAAACAGAACAATGAGAAGTTCGTCCAGATTAGTGCATAGGCAACATTTAATAATTAAAATAATTACATTCAACAACTCCCCTTTTAAGTCCATTTTCCTGACTTATAAGTAAATGCAAGAACAATCGGCCGGAATACAATGTATAGTTCTTGTCCACTTCCATATGACTATATAGCATACAATAAGCTATCGGGTCCCGTTTAGATCGGTTTGGGTGGCAGCCTAGATAGCCATAGAATAGTTTCATCTTGGAATCTCCCATATCACTGGGGATCCTCTTCAATTTAAATGGAGTTACTCGTTACGATTCCGAACCTTCACGTGACTGTGTTTATGAAACATTGTCAAATAGTGGTGACATTAAATCTAGGAAACAATACGCGAAATCGCGCATGCACAGAACGGAAAATTTGGTCAAGGCATTAAGTAACCCGGATGCGCAGAACGATTGATTTCAGTACTTCCGCTAAGCGCTTCGAGTGCAGCGTCAAACGCGGGCCTGAAATCTAACACGCGGGGACTGACCAATGAAATCTGAGAAGTAGAAACACCGGTAGACGCTGTTGCTTGATTGACAATGTCAATCAAGAAAGGGAGGAGCTTAACGCTATCGTTCTCTCCAAGTAAATTCCGATGTCAAATAACGACGTTATTTGGACGGAAAAACGATGGTTTGAAAACGTCCAAATAACGTCGTTTTTCCGTCCAATGACCATATACGGAAAAAAACGACGTTTTCGTGTTTGCAGTGTGAGTTATATATATTCATACACGATATTGCCCGCTCTTCTGTAAATATGTTACTGTATGAATTGGGTAAAAAGCCGCCAAACAGTAGGGATGACTATCGTGGGCGTATTAACTATTGCAATGGTCAAAAACATCATTGCGATACTGTTGAAATACATATAGTATGATGAGTACCGTTAACGTCCCACAAAGTAGACTTTTCTCGTATTTTTAAAGAATATTCAGCAATATTCCTGCTGTATGACGGCGGTCTGTTTATCATGGAGTCTAGACCAGACAATCCAGTGATTAACATCATGAGCATCGATCTATGCAATTGGGAAACGATGGCATGTAGCAACTAAGTCAGTGAGCCTGACCACCGGATCACGTTAGTTTGGGTTACCGAAGACAAATTCTAACCCGAATCTTCTAGGGGGTAGCGTGTTTGTAAACAGTGACCAAAAACATATCTGTCTCTAAGAAGAATCAAATCTGAAGAAGTACCTGACTCCGGACGATTAGCAGTCCTAACTCGTTTACAATTGATTCAAACGTCACGCAACTCTTTTTTGTCTGTTGAAACTCAGCTCGGATTGCCTGATCACACATCCAATGTTCGTGTTTTATTGTTTCAGCATCTCCATGTAAAGACAACAGCGAACTGTGCGCACCCCAGATATGCCATCTTCCAGATTTATCAAAGCTTTGCCCGATGACTTGTGGTGTGTGCACACCCTCTGCAACACAGACAGGTAATATGTTCTGGTATTCATCCGGGGAGTTGAGAATGCTACTGGAGTGTACACTGGTCCGTAAACCAGGTTAATAACTGGCGTGCTTAGACAACAAACAAACACTTACATAACCCTTTTGGCGAACACCTGGTGTCATCACAGATTTTCAGTGATCCATGCATATATAGTTTGCATTGTCTGACTGAAGTAATAAAGTTTCAAAAGTGAACATTTTAACTAATAAATATTAGAAAAACTGTTCATTTCAATGCACGTCAATATCCTGAGGGTGCAAATAAAGAGGCTATCATCAAAGGAGAAATTAGGTACAACCTGCGGTAATTGATCTTATCCTTCTTTAGCCATCTCTGTACAAAATGTGACGAAAAAACTTTTGCGTATAATTGCATTGCAGTCATTTTTTTTTCCTTTTCAAGACAACAATTGACAAAATTGTAGTTTCATCTGACCTCAAGAAGATTTATCCCACCTCAATTACTATTAAATATATTTTGAAACAAATCATCTCTGTTAGCACTCTCACTCCATGCCATCTCTGTAGAAATGTTGCGAAAAATGCAACTATTGTGTGTAACTGCATTGCAGTCATCTGTTTTGCTTTACAAGACAAGAGGTCTGACAAAATTGTATTTTTGTCTGACCTCAAGATTTATCCGACCTTAATTACCATTAAATATATTTCGAATCAGTCTTACACCTTCCACATGTCATTTTCACCTTGCGTTTGATTTTCCAGTTACACTTTACCATCATATACTGTACATAAAGTATCCGTATGAAGAGAATGAAAGTGTTTAATACTGGAATATGTCTGCTTCTTTCTGCATTTAAATCCCATAAACACAGAGACCCAGCAACCTGAATATGACACATTCCGATTTTGCACTAAGTGATGTAACAAAGGAGGAAACTGGCATCGTCCATTGTGTTACACAAAGCATCAGAAAGACTGCGAAATGTGAACCTTTATCGATGTATTCTGTCTCTCTCTATCTCTATCTTCAATAAGAGAGTTGTGAATAGGCTCTAACCTGGCGCAGACTTAAGCGCTGTAAATGGAGAGCATCATAACACGTTCTTACGGTGTCAACCGTGAAGATCCGGGGTAGAATAGGTCTTCAGCAACCCATGCTTGCTTGTCGTAAGAGGCGACAAACGGGATCGGGTGGTCAGGCTCGCTGACTTGGTTGATGCATGTCATCGTATCCCAATAGCATGTCTGGTATCCATATTAACAGGTCTAAGAGTAGGTAGCTTACACTGGCACCATATGTCACTTGATATTCGAGTTATTTTCCATTGTAGGCACTAGAACCACAGGGATGACACCCCAGGCGTCTGTCACTGCTACTACCAAACCTGCAACTACTGCTACGCCGACAACTACTACACTTACATCTACTGCTGCACCTACAACTACTGCTGCACCTACATCTACTGCTGCCCCTACATCTACTGCTGCCCCTACATCTACTGCTGCACCTACAACTACTGCTGCATCTACCTCTACTGCTGCACCTACAACTACTGCTGCACCTACATCTACTGCTGCACCTACAACTACTACACTTACATCTACTGCTGCACCTACAACTACACCTACATCTACTGCTGCACCTACAACTACTGCTGCACCTACAACTACGACTGCACCTACAACTACTACACTTACATCTACTGCTGCACCTACATCTACTGCTGCACCTACATCTACTACACTTACATCTACTGCTGCACCTACAACTACACCTACATCTACTGCCTCACCTACTGCTACGCCGACAACTACTACACTTACATCTACGACTGCACCTACAACTACTCCACTTACATCTACTACTGCACCTACATCTACTGCTGCACCTTCAACTACTACACTTACATCTACTGCTGCACCTACAACTACTCCACTTACATCTACTGTCTCACCTACATCTACTGCTGCAACTACAACTACTACACTTACATCTACTGCTGCACCTACAACTACTACACTTACATCTACTGCTATGCCGACAACTACTACACTTACATCTACTGCTGCACCTACAACTACTACACATACATCTAAGTCAGACATTACAACTACCACAGCTTCAACAGTTACAAGCACTAAGGCACCGCAAGCAGTACGCCGTTCCTGCTACCAGTGTGGTAGCGTTGACAACGGTAGATATTGCACCCTGCCGGAAATATATATACCTCATGCAGCCCCGTGTCCGGCTGGGGCAAGTTTCTGCATGACTGACATTGAACAACATATAGATGGCACAACCAACTATATAAAGAGGTATGCCCATATTTCGTAGTGTTATCACTAATATTTCCAATAGTCTAATTCAGGAGAATTGGAACCTGCTGGTTACAGTGCGTGATATCTGGTTCTGTGGCATCATAGCCGGATGACAATGGAGCTCACTTCCGCTGGAACCGTGAAGATTCCGGGGTAGAATAGGTCTTCAGAAACCCATGCTTGCCGTAAAAGGCGACTGTGCTTGTTGTTAGAGGCGACTAATGGGATCGGGTGGTTAGGCTCGCTGACTTGGTTGATGCATGTCATCGTATCCCAATCGCGTGGATCGATGCTGATGATTATTTTCAGACCGCCGTCATATAGCTGGAATATTACTAAGTGCGGCGTTAAACAACAAATCAACAAACCAATTCACTTCTGCTGTGTAATACACACTGTATTGTGTGGTCCAGATGCAACTCCCGATATACGTGAGATATTTCTGACTATGCTGTTGGGCAACCATCACACAGTCACTGATTTTGTATCTTAGTGAACGAGTGTGCTTAGTATGTTTGTTTGTGTTGTTTGTTTGTTGTTTTACACCGCAACAGTGAGCAGCGATAGACATAAATACTACCATTGGTCTTGATTACAGTAGTACACTCAATATTACAGCTGTACGACGGCGACTTGTAAGTATTGGGATCAACGATCCACAAGGTTTGGTACAATAACATGCAATCAACCAAGTCAACGAACCTGACCACTCGATCCATTTAGTCGCCTCTTTGGACCAGCATAGGTTTCTGTGGACCATTTCTGACCACGACTTCCCACTGCATGACCATCATAAGATGAAAGAAGGATGGTCTAATCTGAGGCGCCGTAATTCCCTCTGCAGAATTGCGTCTCTTGGGCACGCCAGTAACCTATGATTGTGGGTTTGAATCCCGGTTCGCCCAGATTATGTTTCTAGGTTTGTCAGCACCATACCCGTGCTCCTGGGTTTCACCAACGTGGTAAACGTCCAAGACCTGCATCGCGTCGGGCTTTTCGCCCACTTTAAGCTGACACGCCGTGATATAACTCGAATACTGTTAAAAGTGGGGTTAAACCCAACTCACTCACTAGCTCAAGTTTGGAGTACAAATTAAGTGGAGGTTACACATTGTGCATCAACCTTCTGTAACAGGTTTCTGACGCCATAATGACCGAAAGCAGCTATTGCACGGTTTCATTGCCGTCCCACGTCCGATTTGTAAAAAAGTGAGTTGTTATTGATTAACCAATACAAGTTCAGTTCCAAACAATAACTGTTATTCGAAATAAACCGAAATCGTCGTTCTTCAGGTGCGTCAATCAAAACGAATGCGACAAGCTGTGGTATCAGCAGACATCTGACAGGAGCGAGTGTGTGGACCTTGACCCAACCACCCTGACGTCAGCCACGACTTGCAGATATTGCTGTACAAGTGACAACTGCAACGCTGGTAAAATACCTGCCAAACAAACTCTGTATAACCCTAAAAACTGATTATCCCGATTGGTGTATTGTTAAAAGGAAATAAAGATTTCAAAAAATATTCTTTGTTGCTTAACGCCACAGTATTCCATTTATATAACGGAGGCCTGTAAATAATCAAGTCTCGAACAGATAATTCATTGGAGAACGATGGCACGCAATCAACCAGATCACCTGACCATCCGATCCATGAAGCCCTCCTTTTTATCAGCATAGGTCCGGAATATCTTCTTGGATACGACCAGCATTTATTGCGAGGAACAAATTCAGAACCGCAATGGGGATACAACAAGTATAGAGTGCATAAGACGTATTCTAACCAAGACTTCGACCTGGTGAAAGAAATAATGTCCATGCGAAATTATTATCTGCACTATCCCACACAGATGTATATCCGTAAGGTAATACCATCCGAAACTGAAACAAAGCCATAAGGTGTATATAACTAGCAACGCCAACCATAGAATTTTTAGCCAATTCAATCCAGAGATCCCAATTTTTTGTCACGTGTTCATTTCCAAACTGAAATGCAGAGGTTAACCCAGAAAAAGGCAATACAAGAAATGAAACATGTGAAACAATACCTAACATGCCTTAGCATAAGGTTAATGCAACAAAATGAGACTAGGATTATGTACGTAGGTATTAGATGGATTTTTCTGTCCATGTTACAATTATCCTGCGTATCGGGCCGTCACAAACACATGCAAAGGCAAGTCAAATTGATCTGTTATTCATATAGTAGGTAACTGAGGACCATTTGTATTGTTTTTTGTCTTGTCACAGATATGTCCATTCTGCTTCCAGTCTGCCTCCACATTTGTTTCAAAACGTCAACGCCACAGTGATCACTCTCGACTATCTGTCGAAACAGATCGCATTGGCCTAAAAAGGCAAAGTAGCGGTGAAAATGATATAAATGGATCACTGAAAATCATAGATGACACCAGTGTTCGCGAAAGGGGTAAACATTCCCCTCCCCTCATTTGCCAAGCGTGTGTTGTTTGCATACGCGCGATCAATTAATAACCCTGTTACGGACAAATTGCATTCTCAACTCCCCGGGATGAATACCTGAACATATTACCTGTGTGTGTTGCAGAGGGTGTACACACACCACAAGTCTACGAGAAAGCACAGGTATACCTGATTGATGGATCACTGAAAATCAGTTATGTCTCCAGGTGTCATTCATTCTTTGTGACATTCATTTTAGCGTTAGCTTAACCACAGGTTGGCGAGTACATCTGCCACCATACTACGCAGATATCCTTGCACTATTCGTAGATATCAAGACCGCCTCCATGGTCTAGTGGTAGAGCGTCCGCCCGGAGAGCGGAAGGTCCGGGGTTCGACCGTGACATACCAAAAGACGTTTAAAGATGGTACTTGTTGTTACCCTGTCTGGCGCTCGGCATTAAGGGGCTTAAACAAGGACTGGTCGGCTCGGTGTCAGTATACTGTGTCTGAGTGGGGTATTCATGTTAAACTGCGGCATGGTATCTCAGTGAGCTAGCACTATAAATCGGCATCAGTCCGGACTAGTACAAGCAGCCACACACACACACGCATACACGTGCATGCACGTCGCTATATAAGTGCAATAATCTTGGACGCGACGTTAAACCCCATTTCACCTCACATCGTAGATATCAAAGCTTAATATGCGCTACATTTAGCAGATTGATTTTGAATTTAATGGAGGTAGATTATTGTCTAATATACATTTATTAACATCATTCTGAAGGGAAACTCCTGTCTGGTGTATTTCTATCAAGATTTTGTTTGTTTTTGTTTGTTGTTTAACGCCGCGCTCGGCAATACTCCAGCTACATGACGGCGGTCTGTCAATAATCGAGTCTGGACCAGACAATCCAGTGATTGACATGATGAGCATGGATACACGCAATTGGGATACGATGTCATGCATCAACCAAGTCAGCGAGTCTGACCACCCGATCCCGTTAGTCGCCTCTTACGACAAGCATAGTCGCCTTTTACGGCAAGCATGGGTTGCTGAAGAACTACATGTATTCTACCCCGCATCTTCACGGATCTTTTTATCAAGAGGACTTGGAGTACTAACTATTATTGGAATATGCTTCATTTTATTATTTCATAAAGAAGTTTTAAATGTTTAGATCAATATAGACATAATTACAGTATGAAAGTCGCCCAATGCTTGTCATAAGAGGCGATTAACGGGATCGGGTGGTCAGGTTCCCTGACTAGGTTGATGTATGTCATAGCATCCCAATTGCGTAGATCGATGCTCATGATGTCAGTCACTGGATTGTCTGGTCCAGGCTCGATTATTTTCAGAACGCAATCATAAAGCTGAAATATTGCTGAGTGCGGCGGACCTCACTGGTGAGGAAGGAGTATTCCTGGTCGGTAGAATATTCCTCCACATCACCATTAGCAAAATGCTTGCGAGACAGTTTTTTCTTCAATCTTGAGAAGAGATGGAAATATGACCGAATCTGGTCAATACGGAGTCCAACGAGTTCCAAACCACAGCCATGCGTTGCAGCCATGGCGACATCAGAGTTGTGGACAGGTTCATTGTCCTGGCGGACCAACACACCATTGGTGAGTTTTCCACGACGTTTAGCCTTGCTATTCTCACGTAGTTGCCTTAGCAGATAAGCATAATGTTGGCGGCATAATTAACGGTTTGACCTTTTGGGAAGTAGTCCGCCAGTATGATTCCTTTGGAATACACATTAGATTCAGGTAAAAAATAAATATGGGAACGTTCACAATCCTTTAATTATGGTAGAATACCTTCACTGAAATATACATTTGTAGTTTGACGTCATAATTTATTAGTTTGTCTGGTCGCAGTCGACGTTGTTACAGTTTGTACCATCGCAGCAGCTGGCGCAAATCTGAGTGATCACATGATCCCGCCTACCTCTCTGGAGTTGAGCCTGTAGCGCATCACACACCTGCAACAACCATAAAGCAACAGCTTCCAACAGAATGTACCCAGTGGTGAACCATGCTTGTCGTAAATATCTAATGATGATTGGATGTTATTATGTGAGTTGGTTAACGTCGCTATGAGCAGTATTTCAATTGCGCGGGGATTCTATGGCTGATTACGGTATCTATCTGTGTCAGTCCCTGGGGCTGGTCTCCAACTTCGCAGTGCGTCCAAATGATCCGGGCTAGAATTGGTTTTCAGGAACCCATAATTGTCGAAAGAGGTGACTAACGGCATCCTCTCGATGCAATAGAGTTAACTGACTGTAAAAGGCCAGTTTCCATCTTTGCCGAACTAGGCTGGAATTCCGGAGTTACATTTTGGCTTGACGGACGAGTCTATGCATTGTCCAATCAAAATCGCGTATCGAAGTAGACTTCCGGTTCGTAAATTACATGGATTTCAACGTGCAGATTTCGGTCGGCTGCAGGATTTGCAGAGGATGTGTTCAGTCAACTTGGCGCCGACAGATATTTTGCAAATCTTTTCATATTTTTAATCAAGGTGCTCAAGTGATTTGATTCATTTCGCGGGGTAAGGCCCGTTTTATTACAGTTGGGTTGATGCATGTCATCGATCCAAATTGCTCAATATTGCTGAGTGCGGCGTAAAACAACCAACAAACCAACCAACATCAACAAAAGACAATAGCTGTGAAAACTATAGTTTGAATGTTGACAGAACCGCAAAACTACAATTCCGTATTACATAATTCGCGAACGCAACCCCCCACCGGAGCTACTCGGATGGACACATTAACTTCACAAACTAGTGGGTAACGTCGTACTTCAAATGTGACTGCAACTCACGCGAGATCGCAAACAGCCAACGTTATATCGCAGATTATAGGTGTCGGTTAAAACTTTCTCCATGAAGCATTTCTGAAATATGAAAAGTAACAAAAGATCAGAAGCTGGTGCTAGAAAATTTCAACATTAAATTTGTTTATTTTGGAAATAATTAAAGTCACAAGTATGCATATAGTTACAGATACAGTATTATATTGATTTCAACCTCTGTATTGTTTTTCAGAATGTTTCGTTTTCATCCGATGGAAGCATTAAACAACAAACAAAACACAAGTTATCAGAAGACCTTCTTGACTACAATTTCCTGATGAAATCATAGTTTATCAAACATAAGAAGTTATTATATTTTATCGCGTCAGCTTCTTCGACTGTAACCCTAAGAAAGAACTCATCACGCACTGTCTCTCATTTTGTCTTGTAGGTGTGTTGTCCGGACTAGTACAAGCACGCACGCAAGCACGCACGCACGCACGCACGCACGCACGCACGCACATCGCTTTATAAGTGCATAATCTTGAACGCAACTTTAAACCCCTTTCAACTCACCTCGTGTTTGAGGTCACATTCGGTAATGACATCACAATCTCCCGGATGTAGGAGATCGTCACATTTGTAGCAGGGACGATGTAAAGCCGCTGGAAAACATTTGAAAATATATTTGTTTATTGTAGTGATGGCCATATCTTTGTATATGCAAAACATAATCACTTAAACCACATTGTCTTTGCACGCGTTTTCACTATATAATAGGACCCGTGAAGATCCGGGGTAGAATAGGTCTCCAGCAACCCATGCTTGCCGTAAAAGGCGACTCTGCTTGTCGTAAGAGGCGACTAATGGGATCGGGTGGTCAGGCTCGCTGACTTGGTTGATGCATGTCATCGCAGCCCAGTTGCGTGGATCGATGCTCCATTATGCTAATGGTGATGTGGAGGAATATTTGACCGACCAGGAAGAATTCTTCTACACTGTAAATAATCGAGTCTGGACCAGACAATCTAGTGACAGACATCATGAGCATCGATCTACGTTTGGGTACGATCGTTCGGCCATTGCGTTCTCCTGCGTTGACCAGCTACATCTATGAGGAACTACTCTCTCTGGACACTTCCCTCTAAAAAATAACGTCGTCCAATTTACGACGTCATCAAGTTACGAGCTCATGTTGGAATCGCCAGACATTACGTCATGATAGAACAATGTTTTATCATGAAAGAAACCACACTTCGTTCTTCATTGTCCTTTGTGATTTATCGCCTAGCTAGCTTACATGTATATGACAGAATTTGACGCGGAATAGAAACTCATATTGGTTAAAGGCTCTCCGGCCGAACATTTGGAAGGTAAGAAGGGTTTTTTCCAGTCTTACCATATTCATCACACAAGAGGCTGTTGCAGTGGCTGGTGTTGCAGCATAATAAGCAGGTGTCTGGTCGACCAGCTGGCTCACACTCCTGCAAGGACAAATAGGAACTGAACTCTCGGTCTTGCTCAAAATAGTTACCAATATCCACGACCCGTGAAGTTCCGGGGTAGAATAGGTCTGTGTACTCACCGTTGACGGGCGACATCCCATACGGTAGACAGTCATGTTATCTGACCTTGTGTAACGTTGAGTAAAACACACCTATAAGGCAAAATGAGAGACAGTTGTTGAAGGTTATTTACTTAGGGTTATAGGCGAAGAGGCTGACGCGATAAAACATAAATTCTGATTCTGATAAATTATGCTTATCATTTATATTTCCTGATACCAAATAATACTAACAAACTTGCGGGGTGAAAGAAAGTATACACTCAAATTGTTCATGACAAGACCTGCTTGACTCTATCCTTACTCGACCGCCTCCGTGGTCTAATGGTAGAGCGTCCGCCCGGAGAGCGGAAGGTCCGGGGTTCGATCCCCAGCCGCGTCATACCAAAAGACGTTAAAAGATGGTACTCGTTGTTACCCTGTCTGGCGCTCGGCATTAAGGGGCTTAAACAAGGACTGGTCGGCTCGGAGTCAGTATACTGTGTCTGAGTGGGGTATTCATGTTAAACTGCGGCATGGTATCTCAGTGTGCTAGCACTATAAATCGGCATCAGTCCGGACTAGTACAAGCAGCCACACACACACACATACACGTGCATGCACGTCGCTATATAAGTGCAATAATCTTGGACGCGACGTTAAACCCCATTTCACCTCACCTCACCTGTCCTTACTCCGTATTGTGGGGGTGGTGGGGTAGTCTAGTGGTTAAAGCGTTCGCTCGTCATGACGAAGGCCCGGGTTCGATTCCCTACAATGTGTGAAGCCCATTTCTGGTGTCCTCCGCCGTGATATTGCTGTAATATTGCTAAAAGCGGCGTAAAACCATACTTATTCGCGCTGGGTACTGTGACATTTCGACCCCCACGTTCGACGTCATGTACACGTTACCTGTAATTGTAGGATAGTCATTGATATGATGCATGTAATATCGCCTGACACCCGCGGCCATAAAATTTCCGAGCCCGTGATGGGATTCGCGGCACGAACCTTCGGATCAGAGGTCGGACGCCTTGTCCACATGACCAACGAGGTTAATCACGCAGCAAGCTGGCAAGGTAAGGATGTCATCCGTGGGATGACACCACGCCCTGCTACACCCGCATCAATTACATCACCATCGAGTAACCATTTCTTCTTTGTTTTATTTTTAGTCATCATCAAACATGGGTTTATACTTTCTTTTGTCCGGCAGTTTAGTGATAACATCATTAGGCTGTCCATCCCGCGTCCGCCCGGAGAGCGGAAGGTCCAGGGTTCGATCCCGGGCCGCGTCATACAAAAAGACGTTAAAAGATTGTACTTGTTGTTACCCTGTCTGGCGCTCGGCATTAAGGGGCTAAAACAAGGACTGGTCGGCTCGGAGTCAGTATACTGTGTCTGAGTGGGGTATTCATGTTAAACTGCGGCATGGTATCTCAGTGAGCTAGAACTATAAATCGGCATCAGTCCGGACTAGTACAAGCAGCTACACACACACATACACGTGCATGCACGTCGCTATATAAGTGCAATAATCTTGGACGCGACGTTTAACCCAATTTCACCTCACCTCACCTCCTATGAATCTGAGGATCGAGATGAGGAACATAAAACAATATGGATGGCAACTTCGGAATAAAACAGTCTGTCACTCGGTATTATGTGTAAGTCATCTTACCTCCCTTGTCTCACACAGCTCCACGTGTTCACATTCGTTAGGGAAGTTGACGCTGTCGCAGGAGTAGCAGTAGGGACCACTCTCCGACATCTTCAACGCGTCTCACAACAAACAAGCATGAATTAAAAAACAAAACACGTCATTTCCCCGCTATGGCTAATGCCGATATGTACATATCGCCACACGAATCCGGAGTTCTGATTTAAAACTCGCCTCTTAGTCTAAAACAACCATGCATGACATGCCAGCACGCTTCCTCATCTATCGTGTCGTATTCAATGAAAGAATCCTCCCAAACAACATGCTCTCAGTCTGGTCACTTCACGTGCTCGTTACGTGAAGTGTGAGTGAGTGAGTATGGTTTTACGCCGCTTTTAGCAATATTCCAGCAATATCCTGGCGGGGGACACCAGAAATGGGCTTCACACATTGTACCCATGTCGGGAATCGAACCCGGGTCTTCGGCGTGACGAGCGAACGCTTTAACCACTAGGCTACCCGACCGCCCCCGTAACGTGAAGACATACATAACAGCTGCTGGGATCATAGTCATGGGGCGGATCCAGTATATATCAAAATCCTCTCTAAGATAATTTAACTGCCTACAACATACTACATTTGGTTTTCAAAGGGGGGGGGGGGGACCCTTGAACCCCCCTCTGGATTCGCCTATGTTGTCTTGCATTGAAGTAGTATTTGTTGTGAGTTATTTGGGTTTAGCGCCGCTTTTAACAGTATTCCAGTTATATCACGTCGTGTAAGCTTAAATTGGGGCGAACCGGGATTCAAACCCACAATAATATATTTCTGGCACGCTCAAGTGACGTCACTCTGCACAGCTAATTACGGTACCTTTCACGACTGGGCCACCCGTCAACGCAGTTTAAATTTGCTCCAGCCTCCAACAAATATAATGTCCACACAAAGTGTATACATTCATTATACCAGCTTCTACCGTTTTAGCTTCATATAGAAAACCCGCCTCTTGTGTAGTGGATAGAGTGTCTGCCCGGATCACGGTGGTTCGATCACCGGCCGCGTCATGCTAAAATACATTAAACTCTGGTACTTGATGTTACCCTGCCTGGCGTTCGGCCTTAAGAACTGGGTGGCTCGGATAATGTGTCTGAGTGGAGTATTTATGTTAAACTGCAGCATGGAATCTCAGTGGGCTAGCACTATGAACCCGGCACAAGTCCATACTAGTACAGACCGCCTCAGTGGTCTAGAGGTAGAGCGTCCGTCCGGAGAGCGGAAGGTCCAGGGTTCGATCCCCGGGCGCGTCATACCAAAAGACGTTCAAATATGGTACTTGTTGTTACCCTGTCTGGCGCTCGGCATTAAGGGGCTAAAACAAGGACTGGTCGGCTCGGAGTCAGTATGCTGTGTCTGAGTGGGGTATTCATGTTAAACTGCGGCATGGTATCTCAGTGAGCTAGCACTATAAATCGGCATCAGTCCGGTCTAGTACAAGCAGCCACACATACACACACACACGTGCATGCACGTCGCTATATAAGTGCAATAATCTTTAACGAGACGTTTAACTCCATTTCACTTCAACTCAAAGGCAAGACCTGTCTGTACTTGACCTAACGTATCTGAAAAAGGAAAGGTGAAAGGTTCTCTTACATTCTTGACCTGTCTGCCAGATAAGCGACCTCCAACCACAGAGACTCTGACCATTAGAGTAAGGCCTAGTCAAAAACAAAATCGTTTCATGTATAGAAATGAGAACAGGTTAATGTACGACTCTATTATTCAGATATATGTACTGTCCGCGAGAGGTGAGGCGAAGCTGTATATTTTAATCCCTTATTAATGTTCGAATGTTATTCCACATTTCCCATTTCAGAAATATGTCGACAGTTACCAAATCATTTTTATAATGTTAAGTTAGTTGTGTCATGATTTGAATATATTCAAACAGTACGATATTATATCGCGGCATGGCAGATTAACTATACCTATATGAACAAGTCGTGGGTTCCTAAACTTCTTTTGAGTAGTACGTATAATGTTTAAGATGCTATGCTTAGCCCGTTTCGAATTTGAATATTAGTCTGTCGATCACACCACATTCAACAAAAGTTCAGCTATACGACGGCAGACTGTAAAACATCAGGCCTGGACCAGACAGTTCAGTGATTGACACCACGAACAACGTCGATACACTTCGAAACATTCAACCAAATCACCAAGCCAGACCATTCAATCCATTAAATCGCTTCGGACGGCTAACGTAGGTAGAAGGGCCACGTTCCGTAAGGTCATCTTAGCGCTAAGACTGTCGTAAGCATATTTTATAGTGAGTGTGAGTGAGTTGGGTTTAACATCGCTTTTAACAGTATTACAGTTATATCACGGCGTGATCCATGACAGCTTAATGTGGGAGGAAAGCCCGAAGTGATGCAGGTCTCAGACGTTTACCACTTCGGTGAAACCCACGAACACGGGTATGGTGCTGACAAACCTAGAAACATAATCGGGGCGAGCCAGGATTCGAATCCACAATCATAGGTTTCTGGGACGCAACTCTGCACAGCGAATCGCGGCGCCTTAGACGACTGGGCCACCCGTGCCCCCGTATGTTATAGTGTAGTAGCTACGATCGTCTCAGAGCTACACTCGCTTTGCAGAAAGCGGCCGTAGGACCTATTCGAACCCGAAATCCCACGGCTCAGCTGAATTGTGTAATCTGACAACTGTAATCTGAGATTTGTAATCTGACGACTGTACTATGACGTTTAATGAAAGCACATACCTGTCAACATCACGACAAAGGGTGGTTTCAATGTCATACTTTACACTGTGGCTTTGTAGTCGTTGACTCAAAGCTTGGTACAGATATGAAGATTAAAAATAGCAGGTCTCTACGATAAGCCTATGAAGGAGTGAGGTGAGGTGAAATGGGGTTTAACGTCGCGTCCAAGATTATTGCACTTATATAGCGAAGTGCATGCACGTGTATGTGTGTGTGTGTGTGGCTGCTTGTACTGATGCCGATTTATAGTGCTGGCTCACTGAGATACCATGCTGCAGTTTAACATGAATACCCCTCTCTGACACAGTATACTGATCATGACTCCGAGCCGACCAGTCCTCGTTTTAGCCCTTAATGCCGAGCGCCAGACAAGGTAACAACAAGTACCAACTTTTAACGTCTTTTGGTATGACGCGGCCGGGGATCTAACCCCGGACCTTCCGCTCTCCGGGCGGACGCTCTAGCACTAGACCACGGAGGCGGTCCCTATTATAGCCACACATATTTATGGTGCAGTTTTTACAAATTAGATTATCCAAAAAAATCGTCCACACCAAGATCGTGAGATTGAATAAATCGAAAGGTTTTCACTACGTTTAAAACAGGTTCCATTTCGCATTAAAAATACAGTAAACTACGGTTATAACGAAATCAAAGGGACTACTAATTTTAGTTCGTTAAAAGTACATATACAGCATGACTACATCAAGCAGTCGGGACCAAAAAGTAAGTTATCCGTCAGTTCGTTATACGCGTGTTCGTTAAAACCGTAGTTTACTGTACATTAAAAGTAGCGAGGGAAGATCATGAATAATCCAGTGAACAGTTGCAAAAGATATTTTTTGTTCGAGACAAACATTACATACGTATGTTAGACAACAATGCCGTCTACCTGGACAATAATGTTACGTTGTTTTAAATGATGTGTTTATATAACATGTGAGGTGGGGTCGCGTCCAAGATTATTGCACTTCTATATCAACGAACATGCACGTGTGTTTGTGGCTATGTGTTTGTGTGCTAAAGTATACACCCAGGTCTGATGGTGAACAAAAATGGTTTTTCGACGAGTGTATACATTTTTTCGAACGGCAGTTTATTTGGTCCGGATTTATGCCGACGTTATAGTGCTGGCCCTTAAAGATTCCAGTCGCAAATTAACATGGATACCCCAATCAGACACAGTATACGGACTCCGGTCTGAGCAGTCCTAGTTTTATCCTGGTAATGCCGAGGGCCAGACAGGGTAACAACAAGTACCTTCTTTTTGTGTGACGCGATCAGGGGATCGATCTACCGGCCTTCCGCTCTCCGAGTAGACGTTAAATTTAATAGTGTTGGGAGTTGCACTCATGGTGTGTATGTGTTTGTGTGTGTGTGTGTGTGTGTGTGTGTGTGTGTGTGCGTGCGTGCGTGCGCGTGCGTGTGTACGTGCACAAATAGAAACGCACATGCATATATGTATTTTTATTTATTTGCCTTTTATACATACATACATACATACATACATACATACATACATACATACATACATGTGTGTCTCTCTACGTGTGCGTGCGTGCGTGTTCGTGTTTATTTGTAGCCTTCTATAAATAACATCAGGTCAAGCAAGGTATGGTGTTTCTTATCTTTTACATATGCTAAGTTATCCAGCACGACTACAGAGCTCTTAACAGCGCTATGCCGGGTCACGGACTGGTTCCCCTGATACTAGGTAACTAACATTTACATATGCTAAGTTATCCAGCACGACTACAGAGCTCTTAACAACGCTATGCCGGGTCACGGACTGGTTTCCCTGGTACTAGGTAACTAACATTTACATATGCTAAGTTATCCAGCACGACTACAGAGCTCTTAACAACGCTATGCCGGGTCACGGACTGGTTTCCCTGGTACTAGGTAACTAACATTTACATATGCTAACTTATCCAGCACGACTACAGAGCTCTTAACAACGCTATGCCGGGTCACGGACTGGTTCCCCTGATACTAGGTAACTAACATTTACATATGTCACCATATTTCACCTGCAGGGAGCATGGGTAGCTAAGCCAAGTATCCTAAGATTGCGACCCTTGGCCGTGCCAGGATCCGATGAGCGTGGGTCTTAAAGATTTGCCCTGATCACAATCCTAAGCCTGTCGATACTGTAGTGTTGCTTGTGACGATCACAACGTAGTGATCCAGACAGTACTGTTCTGAGTTAAGTCAACCGGAGTAATTTCGTATAAACGTATCATGGGAGTGTGTAGTGTCCAATATAGACGTTGCAGACGATCCTCACAGCACTCTCTGGAAATCAGGACTACCGAACTAACGGGATCCGAACTAACCGGATCCGAACTAACGGGATCCGAAGTAATGGGATACGAAGAAACGGGATCCGAAGTAACGGGTTCAGGACTAACGGGTCCAGACCACGACTTCTATTATACCAAACCTAACTACAGTTATGGGGCATTGATATAAGGTTTCTTATTGTCAGTATTATTAAACGAACTTACAATTTTTGTTTCAGACTTATTTCTTCTTACTACCCTGTTGTTTGTTAGGGCGGTGGGGTAACCTGGTGGTCAAAGCGTTCGCTCGTCACACTGATCCGGGTTCGATTCCCGACATAGGTACAATGTGTAAAGCCCATTTCTGGTGTCCCCGGCCGAGATATTGCTGGGATATTGCTCAAAGCGGCGTAAAACATACTCACCCAATCACTCACTCTTGTTTTTGCTGAATGATGTTTGGCTTGAAACATACACAATTAGTTTGGTTTCTGTCTTTCGTGGTAATCAAGCAACAAGACCATTTCCATTACATTTGCCGAAAGCAGAATCCATTGAACGAATGGCCCTATATTCGAAACATGTGTTTTTGAATCACCATCAAGTGACCATAGTGAAGGCACAAGGTGTTCGCGAAATGGTGAGTCATTGTTAAAATACCATTTAATTTGTTTTCTAGTCTCCCTTGTGTGTTGCCTAGCAACCGCGGACAACAGTAAAAGGGCAGCCCGGATCACGTGCTCCTACTGTAAAGATGTTTACAGTTCAAAGTACGACAAAACTTGCGATGACGACATACTCTGTTCTGATAATGAGGTATGACAATAATTACGATTTAATCCGACCGGTTTAACAAATCATAACGGAGCAATCCCCTTTGGGTGGGTGATATGGGGTTAAAGGTCGCGTTCGAGAGTATTGCACTGGTGTGTATGTGTGTGTGTGTGTGTGTGTGTGTGTGTGAGTAGCTGCTTGTACTAGTCCGGACTAAAGCCGGAGCTAAGCTAGCCCAGTGAGATACAGTATACCGTCTCCTAGCAGACCCGTCCTTGTTTTAGCCCCATAATGCCGCGCACCAGGCAGGGAAACAACATGTACCATGGTTTCATGTCTTTTGTACGTTTTATAGTGATACAGACGTTACAGAAACCTTACCTAGCTTAGCATGGAATAACAGGAATGTCCCTTTAAATACTGGAGCAGTAAGCCATTATTTCGTTCATAGTGGCAGGTCAATACCCTCGATACACTACTTACAACTGTGGCCATTGATTGTAGTGTTGGTGCGTGAAAAACGATCCGATGATAGGCAAAGTCAAGGCAGGGAAAAATATCACGTCCGTTACAATCCGAACGTTTTAGGTACAAGCCTCCTCTAAGCTATACCACTACCACCACCACCCGAACAGTATAACAGGACCACCTTTTAACCTTTTTTGGGTGTGACGCGGCCAGAGGATCGAACCACCGATCTTCCGGTCTCCGGGCACCGCTCTATAATCTCCTTAGTATGTTGCAGTATCGTTCCGAATCGTCCAGAAAACGGAGTTTCTGGGTTAATGGAATCCTGGATTACGAGGGTGCCCTGTGTTCACTATTCACCATGCGTTGTTTCTGTATTACAGGACTGTTTTGCGGGGAAGTACGTTAACCAAGAGGGAGTAACTCATTACACACTTAGCTGCAAACCTCACCAGGTAATCCTCGACCCACAGTGGGACGTATTTTATTGTAGTTTTTGCTGTTGGCAATCTGTAAATCGAGTCTGGACCTGACAATCCAGTGATCGATATCATGAGAATTTATCCAGTATGCAATTGGGATACGATGACATGCATCCACCAAGTCAGCGAGCCTGGCCACCCGATCCTGTTAGCCGTCGCTTACGACAAGCATGGGTTGCTGAAAAAACGTTTCTAACCCGGATCTACACGTAGTTTCGGTTTTGTAACACCCTAATGGTAATTTGACAGTAAGGCGAATGTTGTTGCATAGTTTGGTTTTCGGATTCTCGAACCAAAGACTTCAGAATTCTGATAAAAAATAATGTTGCGAACAGTATTTTTGACTTCACCCTAGCGAGTCCTTATTTCGGGTTTGAAAATATAACTCAAAACAAGAGAAATTAAATCCTTCCACCAAACTGTTGTATATAACATTCTTATTTGTTGTTTACACATAGAAAATTCTTTGTAGAGTTCGTTAATACCTTTAGTTTGTTTTTTTAAATATTTTTGCTATAGACTTTATGGTTTTTAAAATTATCTGTTAACCAAATGATTTACGAGTGAATTCTGTTTTATTCATTTCAGTACTGTGAGATTATTAAACGGTTTCCGACAGTTGGCAAGCGACAGCTTCACGACAATGTATATATATGCCAGCAATGCTGTTCATCAACCAAGTGCAACAGACACCTCTGCCAATAACACCTCTGCCAATAACACCTCTGCCATTAACACCTCTGCCAATAACACCTCTGCCAACAACACCTCTGCCAACAACACCTCTGCCAATAACACCTCTGCCAATAACACCTCTGCCAACAACACCTCTGCCAAAAACGCCTATGCCTTAAATCACACCTGGAATTCACTTGTTTTCTAATACAGCTAGTGTGCACAGTTTTGTATGACGTGTTTTGTGTTTTTCTATGAACGCTGGTAAACCATATACACATATACCGTGGTCTTTCTTATATTTAACATTTGATGTTGATCTGGGTTCACAATTATTAGGGCGGTTGGGTAGCCTAGTGGTTAAAGCGTTCGCTCGTCACGCCGAAGACCCGTGTTCGATTCCCGACATGGGTACAATGTGTGAAGCCCATTTCAGTGTCCCCCGCCGTGATATAGCTGGAATATTGCTAAAAGCGTAAAACCATTCTCACTCACTCACTCACCATTCCGAGATTTGATTTCAATATGTAAAGCCCATTTTTTGTGTCCGGCGCCTTATTGCTGGAATATTGCTTAAGGTGGCGCAAACCCATGCATCTAAAGACACCTAAAACTGTCGACGCGCACGTAAACGTTCGCTATGATACAAAAGGGTATAGAGTTCATTACAGAAAACCCTTTGATGTTTCATGATTCACTGATGTGAGTGGGAGGGTTTTGCTGGACGTTTAGAATATTTCAGTTCAGTGTGAGCTCAACGCCGTGTTAAGTGATATGCCAACTAGATGATGAACATATATGAGAATGGACCAGGCAAACCAGTGAGCGAAAGTATGAGCACCAACCGGGGTGTCATGACACGCGATCACGCAAATTACAGATACTGATAATCCGATCCAATCTCATGCGGCTCAAGCCAATTGTCACACATAATCACATCGTGATTACTGTTGGAGGAAAGCCACGATTGTAAGACGCAGAACATCTTGCTGTAAAAATCCCAAAACACGGGTATTGTGCTGATGGGCTAAGGATGAATATCAGGGTGAGTTTGGGATTAGAACCGGGGGACCAAATGGTTCGAGGATATTGTACATTTTAGGACCGTTATATACAGTTATACCCGGATATAATGCCAACCTGGTTGTAACGCCGTGTATTTCTTGGAAGAGAGTTCCGCACTGTCAAAATTACCTTTTTATAATGCCAACCTGGTAATAACGCCATGTTTTCCTTGGAAGAGATTTCCGCACTGTCAATTTACCTTTTTATAATGCCGATCTGGTTGTAACGCCATGTTTTCTTTGAAAGAGATTTCCGCAGTCAATTTACCTTTTTATAATGCCAACCTGGTAATAACGCTATGTATTTCTTGGAAGAGAGTTCCGCACTGTCAAAATTACCTTTTTATAATGCCAACCTGGTAATAACGCCATGTTTTCCTTGGAAAAGATTTCCGCAGTCAAATTACCTTTCTATAATGCCGATCTGGTTGTAACGCCATGAGTTTTTTGGAAGAGATTTCCGCACTGTCAAATTACCTTTTCATGCCAAACTGGTAATAATGTTAGTGGAAATGGGTTTTTTTCTGAACAAACACCCCCAAACCCTGTCACTGACTTATCTTAGTAGGTTAAATAAAGAATTTATTAAAAAGGTAAATGTGCTATTTAAAGACTTGAACATCGTGAAGTACTTCCGAAAAGGGCGTCTTCATGGACTTGATATGGGCTTGAACTTGCAGTCCTAGAACGTCAAGTCACTCAACACATAATAATAGTGCCCTCAAGATGTTTTGGGGCGGTCGGGTAGCCTAGTGGTTAAAGCGTTCGCTCGTCACGCCTAAGACCCGGGTTCGATCCCCGACATAGGCACTATATGTGAAGCCCATTTCTGGTGTCCCGCTCCGTGATATTGCTGGAATATTGCTTAAAGCGGCGTTAAACCATACTTACTCAAGTCGTTTTGCAAAAGGTGAGGTGAAATGAGGTTAAAAGTCACGTTCAAGATTATTGCACTCATATAGCGACGTGCATGTACGTGTGTGTGTGTGTCTGTGTGTGTCTGTTTGTACCAGTTCGGACTATTCCGGTTTATAGTACTTGCCCGATCAGATATCATGCCGAAGTTTAACATGAATACCCCACTAGACACGGTATACTGACTCCGAGCCGACCAGTGCTTGTTTGATCCCCTTGAAGCGGAGCGCCAGACAGGGTAACAACGAGTACCATCTTTTAACGTCTCTTGGTATGACGTGGACGGGGATAGAACCCCCGACCTTCCGCTCTCCGGGCAGACACAATCCACTACACCACGGAGGCGGTTTTTTCTTTTTGAAGCTAAAGGGTAGAAGCTGATATAATGGATGTATACAATTTGTGTGGACATTATGTTTTTCGAGGGCAAAAGAAAACTGCGTGGCCCAGTCGTGAAAGGTACCGTAATTAGCTTGCAGACTGACGTCACTTGGCCTTTACAGAAAAATATGATCGTGGGTTCGAATCCCGGTTCGCCCCGATTATGTTCCTAGTTTTGACAGCAGCATACCCGTGCTTGTAGGTTTCACCAAAGTAGTAAACGTCTGAGACCTGCATCACTTCGGGCTTTCCTCCCACACTGAGTGAGTGAGTATGGTTTTACGCCGCTTTTAGCAATATTCCAGCAATATTCCAGCAATATCACGGCGGGGGAGGAAATGGGCTTCACACATAGTACCCATGTCGGGAATCGAACCCGGGTCTTCGGCGTGAAGAGCGAACGCTTTAACCACTAGGCTACCCGACCGCCCCCCTCCCACATTGAACTGACGCGCCCTGGTGTAACTGGAAGACAGTTTAAAGTGGCGTTACACCCAATCACTCACTCACTGCTAGTGCACGTCCAACGTTCACAATAACATGTTGGAGTATAGATTTGAAGTTGGGCATACTAATCCGAGATGATTTGATATTTTGGACCCCTCCCTTTTAAAAATGCTGGATCCGCCACTGGACAATGATGACACCAGTCCTGCTATTTTGTCTTCTCAAAACGAGCACGGGAGGTGACCAGATTGAAAGAGCGTTGTTTGGTCCGATTCTGTCATTGAGTTTGGTGAGGTGAAATTGCGTTTAACGAAGCGTCGAAGATTTTTGCACTTAAATAGCCGTCTGTCTGTTATTGTGTGTGTGTGTGTCTGTTAGTGTGTATGTGTGTGTGTGTGTGTGTGGCTGCTTGTACTTGTCCGGACTGATGCCGATTTATAGTGCTAGCTCACTGAGATACCATGCCGCAGTTTAACATGAATACCCCACTCACACAGTATACGGACTCCGAGCCGACCAGTCCTTGTTTCAGCCCCTAATGCCGAGTGCCAGACAGGGTAACAACAGGTACCATCGTTTAACGTCTTTTGGTATAACGCGGACGGGGATCGAACCCCGGACCTTTCTCTCTCCTGGCGGACGCTCTACCACTAGACCACGGAGGCGGTCATTCTGTCATTGAAATACGACGCAAAGGATGAGGAGTGCAGCGTTAAACAACAAACAAAAACTGTTTATTATTTTTACTCAAAAAAACAGAGAGAGATACATGGCACATCAAAAGATAAATACAAGTGATGCATCAATATATTGATAAAACAGGGAAAACAACACAACTGGTCCTCAGTTTCTTAAATTGGATCGGCATGTCAGCCCGTTTGAGTTGATTAATGTCATCGTCCCTTCACGGCTTTGAACGGCTCACGATATCAATCACAGGTTTGTCTGGTCCAGACTCGATTATGTATAAACCGCTGACATACAGCTAGAATATTGCTGAAAGCGGCGTTCAACAACAACAAATACAAAAAACCCATGCTCGACCAAACGGAGACCTACTACCCTTGGCCACAGTGACGTGGCAACATTGCGGCTCTACCAGTGTTAAGGACGGTCGGATAGCCTAGTGGTTAAAGCATTCGCTCGTCACACCGAACTGGGTTCGATTCCCGACATTGGTACAATATGTGAAGCCAGTTACTGGTGTCCCCCGCAGTGATATTGCTGGAATTTTGCTAAAAGCGGCGTAAAACCATACTCACTCACTCACTACCGGCCGTGCCAACCGCTCTTTGTCTTTCATCTTCGACATGTCGTGCTGCAACAGTGATATCATCCTCTCCATCTTCTGGGTAAGCTTATTGGTAAACCAACACTTACACCTGGATCCATTCCAAGAGGTCTGGCGTACCAATCAGAATGCGAGTTACAAACCAACCTCATTTTTCAGTTGGCCAGTCCCATTGATTATGATCGAGACTGCGAGAAATTCAACGCAAAAGACTGACACGCAAAAGAAAGCCCTCAAAAATATATTTGATGGGAACGATGTCTTCATGTCCTTTAAAAGTGATGGTGACTTTGGTTTCTGGGTACTACGAGTTACCTCCCTTATCATTTCCTTCACGTCGACGTTTGATTGGTTGGTAAAATCTTGATGAAATTCCGGAATTGGATCCAGGGCTTAGTGTAGGCTTACCGAATGGCGGGCCCTGGAGATATAGAGGATGCAGTGATATATTCGACATTGTACCAGTATACCCCTTATGCTGCCTTTAATGTTATATATCCTTACACGACATGCAACCTACTCCTTTGGTTTCTGACCAAGCAGCATAAACACAGGCCATGATATGTTAACTTTCGATTCTTCCCCAGCCGAGGTTTGGTACAAGGCCGTCAATCTGAAACAGGAATTAATATAATGAGGGGGGCTTCACAGAGTGCTACGGCTGTTGTTTTGCATTTTTGTTGATTGACGCCGAGTCTGCCATATTCCAGCTATATCACGACAGCTTATTAATAATAAGTCCAGGACTAGGTTATCAGCACGCCACGACTATGATGACACACTATACGTTTGCTTGTTTGTTTGTGTGTTTGTTGTTTAACCGCCGCTCTATCCAATATTCCTGCTGTTTAACGGCGGTCTGCAAATAATGGAGTCTGGACCAAACAGTCCAGTGATTGATATCATGAGCATCGATCCACGCAATTGGGATACAATGCCATGCATGAACCAAGTTAGCGAGCCCGACCACCAGATCCCTTTAGTCGACTCTTAGGACAAGCATAATCTGATGACAAGTATATGTGTTGCTGAAGACCTATTCTAACCCAGATCTTCATGGGTCAATTTCCAAAATGACTTAGACACAAGAATTTTCCTCACACGGTACCCACATCTTATTACTTACGTTTTTCTGATGTCTTCGAGGTCGGAAGCGGAAGGATGTGCATTGAGGTACGACTGCCAACCAGACCAGGAGGAAACGTAACCAACGAACTGGTCAACTGTCCATTCCTTGACAATCTTTAAACTCTCCTCCCTGCCAACGTACCAAAATTAGGACTGATTAAACCACGGTACTAGTTGAAAAAATATGACGATAATATTGAAAAAAGGTTCTCAAAAATACCCCTTTATTTTTTAAGAGTCGTGTGAAACATGTTTCGCAGGTTGATCAGTAATTTGCCGCTTTATGCCCAAAGACCGGTTCTCGTATCAGTTCTGATATTATTGGATGGATGCCAACAGAAGAGTTATCTTCCCTTGTCTTTTTTTTGCTTCTGATGAGAAACACTCTTAAAGCACCGACACTTCCATCAAAGGTCACAGTCCTAAGCAGTTTCACGGTGTTTATGACCACTATGAATGAAAAAAATGTTTACTACTCATTTTTCTAAAAGTGAAATTCTTGTTATTCCACTTGAAGTGAAGAAAGGTTTCCATAACCTTTGTGGCCCCATCAAAACATGATAAATGTATATGTATTTCTTGGAATTCAAGGAGCGAACCAAATCCCCTCGGTGCTCGCAGTCAAAATGGGTTCAAAGAGCGCGATACCTGTGTACGAGCTGACAAAAGGTGACCTCGATGCTGTGGCGAGTATTAGAGATCGATGGCCGCCGTTATATAGCAGGAATATTGCTGCCTGTGGCGAGTGTTAGAGATCGATGGCCGCCGTTATATAGTAGGAATACTGCCGCATGTGGCGGGTGTGGGGCATCGATTGCCGCCGTTATATAGCAGGAATATCGCTGCCTGTGGCGAATATTGGAGATCGATGGCCGTCGTTATATAGCAGGAATATCGCTGCCTGTGGCGAATATTGGAGATCGATGTCCGCCGTTATATAGCAGGAATATTTCTGTCTGTGGTGGGTATTGGAGATCGATGGCTGCCGTTATATAGCAGGAATATTGCTGCCTGTGGCGAATATTGGAGATCGATGGCCGTCGTTATATAGCAGGAATATCGCTGCCTGTGGCGAATATTGGAGATCGATGGCCGCCGTTATATAGCAGGAATATTTCTGTCTGTGGTGAGTACTTGAAATCGATGGCCGACGTCATATAGCAGGAATACTGCTGCCTGTGGCGAATATTGGAGATCGATGGCCGCCGTTATATAGCAGGAATATTTTTGTCTGTGGTGAGTACTTGAAATCGATGGCCGACGTCATATAGCAGGAATACTGCTGCCTGTGGCGAATATTGGAGATCGATGGCCGACGTCATATAGCAGGAATACTGCTGCATGTGGCGAGTGTTGGAGGTCGATAGCCGACGTTATATAGCAGGAATATCGCTGCCTGTGGCGAATATTGGAGATCGATGGCCGCCGTTATATAGCAGGAATATTGATGTCTGTGGTGGGTATTGGAGATCGGTGGCTGCTGTTATATAGCAGGAATATATCTGTCTGTGGCGAGAGGTGTTGGAGATCGATGGCCTCCGTTATATAGCAGGAACATCTCTGCCTGTGGCGTGTGTTGGAATATAGCAGGAATATTGCTGCCAGTGGCGAATATTGGAGATCGATGGCCGCCGTTATATAGTAGGGATACTGCTGCCTGTGGCGGGTGTTGGATATCGATTGTCGCCGTTATATAGCAGGAATATTGCTGCCTGTTGAGAGTGTTGGAGGTCGATAGCCGACGTTATATAACAGGAATATTGCTGCCTGTGGCGATAACTGGAGATCGATGGCCGCCATTATATAGCAGGAATATCGCTGCTTGTGGTGAGTATTGGAGATCGGTGGCCGCCGTTTTATAACATTGATGGCAAATAATAACACGCCTTCATGCTACTAACCTAAAAGAGCCATGGTAGGGTAAAGAGAATTCTCTGTAGTGAGTGTTGATATGGTCCCTCTTATCGTCCCAGTAGCCCTTCAGTGTGCTCCAGTAGAACTGAAATAGGAAGAAAACCTATCATCTTTGTTTGTTTGTTTGTTTGTTGTTTAACGCTACACTCAGCAATATTCCAGCTACATGAAAACTGTCTGTAAATAATCGAGTCTGGACCAGACAATCCAGTGATTGACATCATGAGCATTGATCCACGCAATTGGGATACGATGACATGCATCAACCAAGTCAGCGACGACGGCCACTCGATCCCGATAGTCGCCTCTTACGCCAAGAATAGTCGCCTTTTACGGCAAGCATGGGTTGCTGAAGACCTATTCTCTGTTTTGGTGAAAGTCTGTTTATAGGGAGGCTTCGCTCCTGTTTTAGGTCTAGGATTGTGCCATGTGAAATCACCGTGGAAGCTTCTAAATTAACCTATTGCCATCTGTCAATCAAACCATATAATTGACAAATCAGACCGTCCGACGTGATAGGCACAGAATCCGCCCATAGGGAAAGTCAGAACATGTCTATACATAATACCACTAAAATGGATAGAAACCAAGGACAAGAAAAGTGAGTGAGTTTGATTTTACGCCGCTTTAAGCAAAGTTCCAGCAATATCACAGCGGGGGACATCATAAATGGGCTTCACACATTGTACCCATGTCGGGAATCGAACCCGAGTCTTCGGCGTGACGAGCGAAAGCTTTAACCCCTATGCTACCCGACCGCCCAGGACAAGAAAAGACCTTACGATAGTACTATGCCTGAGATAAATGGACTTAAAGTGTAGATAAAATTTACAGACCTTATTCCAGAATTTACGGTACCGGGACAACCTCAGTTACCTTGGATATAATCTCCTGTGCCCGAGGGTTGTCTATGGTACAGTTACCGTAGCCATACACAACCATCGCCCCTCCCGGCCGGAGAACCTTTTCCACCTCTCTGTAGAACTTCCCCGTGTCCACCCAGTGAATGGCTTGGGCAATGGTCACTAGGTCCGCAGTGTCCGGCGGGACCACTGTGCTGAAACTCTCCGCGAAGCCCACCTCAAACTTGAGATTGGGCACGTCCGATGCCGCATGCTCTACCTGTTTGGGGCTCACGTCCACGCCGACCACCTGGAACTCAATCAGCCGTGTATACAGTGGCGACCAGACATGAGGTGAGGTGAGGGGAAATGGGGTTTAACATCGCGTCCAGGACCTAACTCCGAACCTTCCGCTCTCGGAGCGGACGCTCTACCACTAGACCACGGAGGCGGTCCGACCGTACATGAACTAACAATCGATCTGAAGCCTTGACAATGTCTTATTGTGTCGCCCCAAGTTTACCTTTTACGACCAATGGAATCTGTTTCGGGGATAAATCGAAATCTCAAGACTGGTTATTCTCTGGCGTTGACGTTTTATATTTGTAATTATGGACAAATCAGAAATGTTTTAAGACATATTTCCTGATGGTCAACACGAGGCTACCCCACCGCCCTCTGTAAAGAATTGTTCAAGACGTTATGTATCGACGTTATGACGTTACGTATGACAAAAACCTCCCGATGGCCATTTTAATAAAATAAAATCATGGTTGAGTGAATGGGGTTTTGCGCCGCAGTCACAAGATACATCACTGCGGTCTAAATATTTAACGTGTCTGTGCTAGGCGAACCGGTGTTTCATAACATGAACAAAGACGTTCACAGAAACGTTCACAGACGCCGACGCCGAAAAACGATGGTCGATGGACGATGCACAACGAGACCATGGCTTTAAGGGGGTTCTCGGTCGTCGAATGTTACACTATGTGTTGTCAGTTAAAAAGACAGGGTGTTTCAATGTCTTAATACATAAACAACAAACGGTATTAACCTTTACACTACATCTGTGTAAACATTTACAGACGGATTAAGGTCAAATTCATACTACGGAGTGATTCGGATCAAGCAATGACAAAAATGCAAATTGAGCTGTATCGGATATGTGTGGTTATTGACAAGACCCTGTGTTAATACTGAAAACATTTACATACTACCTGGCATAGAAGGAAAACACTAGTGTGTCCTTTCCTTGCAGGCGGTGTGTATTGAAATATGGACAAGCCAAGTTTTAAATCACAAGAACTGCTTTTATCGGGTCTGGCCGCAACACCAGATTTCATGGCATATGCAAATTACAATGTCACACTCAGACTACTGGGTGTAAAAGGGTGAAAAGGGCGATAGTTCTTTCTCAAAGGGACGTAATTCTTTATTGGCACCTTGAGATTTCAGCGATGCCATCAGATTACACTTTAAATCATCGTCCACCTTATAATAACAGCGGGTAACCCATGGTGTATTTTCAAAATGGCGACAATATTTCGATTTCTAGACAGCTTTCAGACACATTTTCTCTGTTAAATGTAATAAACTTTAAAAGATGAAAAATTGAAGATGTTCTACTTTCAACTCTATTGTTATTTCTTGTATTAAAATTCAAAATTGGATTGTGCCTCAAATTTTCAATGCGGCAGTTGGTGACCTGGGTGCCATTGTACAAAACGATCTTAGCACTAAAGTGATCGTAGCATGATACCTTAACAAAGACTGAGTTTTTTTGTACAACAGGTCACAAGCGAGGTAATGACTTGATTGGTTTATCTGGATCCTCTGACGTCATATCGCAAAAAGTGCATTGTAAACTAAATTTGCTGAAAACAAAACTTTGCGCTATTCTTTAGTGAGTTGGGTTTAACGCCGCTTTTAACAGTTTTACTGTTATATCGCAGCGTGTCAGCTTAATGTGGGAGGAAAGCCCGAAGTGATACAGGTCTCCGACGGTAAAACCCATGAGCACGGGTATGGTGCTGACAAACCTAGAAAAACAGGATCGGGGCGAACCGGGATTCGAACTCACAATCATAGGTTTCTGGCTGGTCCAAGGGACACAAATCTGCACAACGAATCGCGGCGCCTTAGACGACTGGGCCACCCGTGCCCCCTGCTATTCTGTAGATATATATATAAGATGTTATGTGATGATCATGTTCCAAGCCTATGGTAAAATTGTAATGATACAAGAGAGCAGTGGTCGATATGACAAACGGCAAATAATTTGAGTGCTGCACTGAAATTACGCCCTGAAATCTGTTGTTGCGTCCGGACCTGATTATTTGCAGAATACAAACTGCGAAACACGAACTACGCTAGTTTTTGTCATAACATACACGCATAAAAAAATAAATAAATGACCACCTGTTTATGTTGGAAAAGATAATTGAGCTCAAACACACGCACGCACACACGCACACAGGGAGCATACATTTGATTTTCAAAGCAGAGCATGTGCACTCACCCTCTTTTGAAAATCAAATGGTTGTTGCCAAAGCTAAATTAACAATACAACCCCGCGATTTTCCTTAAATATTTCTTTCCACAAATCTCACCTGTTCGAAATATTGGGTCAAATGTTTTGTACTTTGACCCGAACCGCAGCCTATATCAACTGCCAGCTTGAATCGGTTTCCGCCATCTCGGCAGAATTTGAAGATGCGCTCGTATATGTCTTCGCCATAACTGGGGCGGTATTTCGCGTACAGGTCAGCGTGTTTAGCAGCCTCGAAGAAACGTTTACTCATTGTTTCACAACAATCGGCGTTTACAACAAATCAAAGGGTCAAGATGTCATACCTCGGAACCAGCAACTGATCACCGATTGTAGGCTATCTCTGCGGTCTACGAGACCAGGCGATTCGGTGTTTTGAAGAAATTAGAGTTACCTCCCTTATTGCTATATTTATCCCAGCTCTCCACAGCGATAACCCGTTCACGGAGCTCGCTCTCTCTCTCTCTCTCCAAAGATTATCACACTATCGCCACCAGTCACAGCTCCCCACTGCGCTAGGCAATCATTCATGAACTGTCAACAGACTGACCGTTATGTTTACAAACAAGCTATGACGTCGAGTCATCGAATACTCTTCCCCCAACTGAATTGCTTTCCTTGGTTTAATTTGTCAGTTGAATTTCTATTTCATTTCAACTATGATCTAGTGAGTACAGTGAGAATGTAAATGTGGAAGTTAATCTGCAATCTCGAACCAAAACCTATACAAGAATTATATATCACCAGTTCCATAAAATCGCCACTTTTTCGGACCTGTACACGCAGCCACACACACGTGCATGCACGTCGTTATAATGAGTGCAATATGTTAAACCCCAATTATATGTATGTATATCAATACCAAACATACCATTATCATACATTTGCTACAATGAGTGAGTGAGTATGGTTTTACGCCGCTTGTAGCAATATTCCAGCAATATCACGGCAGGGGGCACCAGAAATGGACTTCATACATTGTACCCATGTCGGGAATCGAACCCGGTTCTTCGGCGTGACCAGCGAACGCTTTAACCACTAGGCTACCCGACCGCCCTCATTTGCTACAAATATGGACCCGAGATAGGAAATGTCCACATCACCCTAATGCATGTGTTGATTGTTAGAAGCGACCAAATTGGATCAGGCAGTCAGGTTGGTTGACTTGGTTGATGTGTTCGTAAACGTTTTTCGTCTTCGTAGACGTTGTTCATCATTTTAGTCACTGGTTTGTCTGGTCCAGGCACGAATATTCACCGTCCGGTGGGATACATCTGTTCAATTGCTGGCTGCGGCCATAAACAACATTCACTATATCACTGAAGCTAACCCTCCGTTTACCGTCCCAGCTGTAGCTATTTACAACAGCTTGTTGTTTTACGCCGCACTCAGCAATATTACAGCTCTATGAAGGTGGTCTGTAAATAATCGAGTATGGACCTGACAATCCAGTGATTGACATCATGAGCATCGATCTACCTTATTGGAATACGATGACGTGCATCAACCAAGTCAGCGACCCTGACCACCCGATCCCGTTAGTCGTCTCTTACGGCAAGCATAGTCGCCTTTTACGCCAAGCATTGGTTGCTGAAGACCTATCCTGCCCCGGATCTTCACGGGGACCTTGAGGAAACGAACCGCCTCCTTCATGTACATGTCATTTAGAGTAATCACTATGTTTTACTTTAGAAAAAAGTAATACATGTTTGTGTCATGTTTTCGTTTCCATTCCTTAAAATATTATTAACATAATATAAGCTTAAAAACGATTTTAGGATTATACTTGTATTTGAAGAAAACCGTTGACGCCAGAAAACTTAATAAATGCGGAAATGTGTAAATACTGCCCCTTAAAACGATTTCAAACGAAAGACTAGTTGCACTGACTTTATGTGTGACCTTGCATCATAATGCGTTGCACAATAATGTTTAAAAAAAGACTATTATCTGCCATATACGATATCTCGACACAGACTATACCCTTTAAAACTCACACACACATACACATAATCAGTCACGAAGTAGCGTATTGCTTAATATACTCATTGTGATTATTATTATCAGATCTATGTACGGGGTGCCTTTGCTTTTTTAAATTTTGTCTTTTGTTGACACCAACACACTGTCATATCAGCTAGTACATACAAAAGACGACTATATATGCTTGTCGTGAGGGGCGACTAACGGGATCAACAAACAAACAAACAAACTCACTCACCCACTCTCTTACTCAATCAGCCCGGACTTTTTCCCCCGTCGTAGGATCTCTACGCATGGGTGGACACCACGTCGTCCCTTGTAACATCAACCACGTCTTCAAAGGCATGCCTCATGTCGCTTTAGCGAGAAAACCTGTAGCTTTAAATGTCGCTCTGGAGAAAAGACACCTCCATCACTGCCTACTGGATGCCACCGAGTGATATTCAAACGCAGGATGAAGTAACAGCTAAATAAACGACACAGTGGAATAATATTTCTGACGCGAAGCAAGTGTTTCAACGTCCAGGTAGGACTTAGAGAACACCAGCCACGTTATGCACGATGCAAGCCTCGCTATGGGATGAAGCGCTGTGAGAGGTCAATAGCTGTCTCCAACTGCGACCTGACACTAAGATGATAACCATAATCGTATTGTTCGACTGCATAAGGATGTCCAGGTATTTGTACTTTGACACTGTATCAGCCATTCAACAGGTGCACGATGACAGACTGAATCACGATCGGGAACGGAGAGTATGTCGCAAGCAATTCAGGGAGGACTTGGGCCAATATTCTTAGTGAGTTGGTGATCAAGTGTTGAACCTGTTCAGGACAATGGCGATCTGGCGCAAATATGGTATATCAACAGCTAAAAGTAAGTACCTCCAGGATTGCTGAGAATGTTTGTGTTCAATATACCATCTTAGTGTCAGGTAGTCAGATCTTGACTGATTGAGGTCATAGACTGGCTCTTGTCTTCTCATAGTTATGATAACGCTGATGGAGAGGACGTTTCTCTACATTCATAACAGATCACACATTTCAAAAAGGTGATCGCACAGGTCAAAACGTGGCGGTATTACCCCCTGGATGCCAGAGGGACATATATGTCCCTCCTCTACAACCCCCGCTTTGAAGTCGAATAAAATTTAAAATACATCAGCCACACAAATACACTTCACAGTTTTGAATAAGGTGGGAAATTTCCTGCTCTGTGATATAATCCACTGGCATTTTAGGCCAAGCATAAGTACTGAAAATGACCTCTGAAAATTAGGTACATCGTAAAAATCGCCATTTTTTACACATTGCTAATTCACCACTCACGGCGTTGTTTACAGCATGTTTTGAAATCTAAATTTCGGATATTTACTCGGAGAAATGAATTTCAAAAATAGAATATAAGTAATCACGGGTATCTGTCTTTTATGAAATCACCAATGATCATTCCAAAACGTCTCCGATAACCCTACAATCGTTTCGAATGTTTTAGAAAATGCGCAAACACGATCGCCGATGTGAACTTTCCGCCATATTGGATAGTGTTTACAAAATCACGTTTCAGGTACACCGGTTTTGAGGCGCCTGTAACATCACGTATATTTCAAACTTAGCTGCGATACATACATCCTTGGATTCCTCATACATTTTAGAATCAAATAACCAATGGTCTTTGTCACCAATACAAAGTGCCTAGATGAAATCAAGCAAAACAAATTAGGTGTGAAAACGAACGCTGTGCTCGAAAAACTGCACATGGTTGAAATGTAAACAAAGCAAAATTCAGATTTTACACAGTGTAGCATTTTCTCATATTTTGAGCTGTCCATTCGTCTATTTGTTCAAGATATTGACTCAACATTTTCAGAATATGCATGGAAAGAGAATCGTAGGAAGAATTAGGGAATTTAAAATAGATACATTGCAATGATTTGATATTTTCTACAGAAATTGTCAAAGTTATCGTTCTGTGTGACGCCATGACTGACGCAAAATCACGCACAATGACAAAGGTATTTGTCGGAACTTCTGACTATTTCCGTTGGTTTCAATGAAAAATATAACAACAAATAACAATACATAGATTGTCAGAATGTTTCTGATTACTTACATGTCACATTTATGTATATACGATCCCTGAATCAACGAAAGTCCCCTCGCAAAATCCCGCCTATTGATGACAGTGAACACGCCATTTTGTAAGAGTCGGTCACCGGTAGTGATGTCATACGTCAACATTGTTGTACATATTTGGTAATTTCTTTGAGGTGAAGGTCCTTGAATGAGAGTGCACACGATCATTGTATCACGCTGTTTACAGTTTCAGTTACGATGTAGATTTTGCATTTTTTCACACAATTAATTAACTTTGGATATTTGTCAATGTTCAAAATGATATCATACGTACATATAGGCCACACCATGTATGAACGAACCTTTGATAATCTGTTTGTTTAAACATTGTTTACATAAGAATGTATAGGTTTATATAGTGTCAAATACGATATTTCTTTCCTTTAGTTTGTTTTGTTGTTTCCTTTGGACAAGTGTTACAAGATGAAGTGTAAATGTAACTGCAGCATGAACGTACTCTTGGGATGTGTAATAGTCAATATTATAAGTTCATATAACCAATGTCCATGAATAGCCGTATCATTTTATTTTATAACTAAAACTGAATATATTACTTTCACAAAATGGATAATATGTTTCGTTAAAATATATGCACACATTTCTCAATTGAATCGTTTTTTATGTCGTTTGATATACAGAACAGTGATATCTAACGATTCGCCAGGTGCGCGTTTGTCACAAACAATTTACGAATTATTCCTCTCGTTTTGCATAATATTATCAATGGGTTCATTCTTTTTTTTCAATATTGTGAACACAGGATATTAAACTGTTTACTTTATTTCTCCAGGAATTGTAAAAACTATAAAAAAATAAAACCCATGCCAGGTACCCGCGCCGTTTGTTCAACCTTATACGATTATCCTGATAATTCTATACCAATAGAGCTTTCTTCGCATCTTTTATTGTGTAATTCTGAGACAAGATGAAGAGAAATAATAACATAATAATGAACAAATATATGTCCAATATTGAATATAATTTTGGTTGTTTTGAAATATTCTTTTGGGTATTTCATTACGTAAATTGATGCCAAACAGGTGCGTGTCTTGTCCAATTAAGATACACGATAAACTATCTAAGTATTTACATATTCAAGACATTATTTACTTGGTGAGAGCAGTCATTTTATGTTGTGTCGAAAAAGCGTCAAATTACGTTCCAACACATTGAGATGTTCCATACCATGAACGAAAATTAGGGGAGATATTATTAATCAAAATACCAGTGTCGTCTTTTTCCGACGTTATCAAAGACATAAAACCAGCCATGACGTCAAAAGGAATGGTGTTATTGTTAGGGTATTTCATTAAATTTGATGATAAGGCTTGTGCTCCATTAATAATGATGCAACATTAGTCAAATTACACTTACACAATCAGGAGAATGTTGGAATCTAAGGACTAAGATATAGGTAAGATAAGGCCATCCATTTCTCTATTACCTCCTCTTTATTAGTGAGTGAGTTGGGTTTAACGCCGCTTTTAACAGTATTCCAGTTATATCACGCCGTGTCAGCTTAATGTGGGAGGAAAGCCCGAAGTTATGCAGGTCTCAGACGTTAACCACTTCGGTGAAACCCACGAGCACCCCATTACCCCCTGTTGTGGCGCAGCTTACGCAAGATATAAGGGTGCCGACCCGTGAAGATCCGGGGTAGAATACGTCGTATGAGGCGACTTACGGGATCGGATGGTCAGGCTCGCTGACTTGGTTGATGCATGTCATCGTATCCCAATTGCGTGGATGTCAGTCACTGGATTGTATGGTCCAGACTGGATTATTTACAGACAGTCGTTATATAGTTGGAATATTGCAGAGTGCAAAACAAAACAAACAAATAAGAGTACCGATTAAAGGCTAATTTGTTGTTTTACACTCATGCGTTGTGGTTTTTTTTCAGAGGCGTGGCTCTTCGTCGCCATCTACACAATAATAGTGCTTACAGTCTTCCTAACAATACCAACAGATAATTACTTATATTTTGCTCTTGGTGGAAAACAAACGCTGCAAGGTATTAAGAACGATTCCACTGGAGTGTCGACTGAAAATGTAACCAAAGCCGACAAGTTCTTGGCTTTGGGAAGAGACAGCTCCCTAACGATGGGTGACGCTACAACGCCATATAGCAGTGGAACATCCAGCGTAACTGCAACAACCATAGCAGCAGCAGCATCAACTCTTACACCAGGCACATACAGCGGTGGAGCATCCAACGTAACTGCAACAGCAGCAGTAGCAGCAGCAGCAACTCTTACAGCAAACCCATACAGTGGTGGAACTTCTGAATCACCGGAACCAAAGTGCAAAGGCCCGGATCGTGACCTCATCCACAATAACAACATGTTCCTGTGCTGTATGCCATTGGGTGGTCTCGGGAACCACATGTTCGTATACGCCTCGTGTTATGGGTTCGCAGCCTATTACAACCGGACGTTGGCGTTCCCTAAATCCAGCATGCTGACGAAGTACTTCAAGCTCAAGGCCCACCTCATACAAGACTATTGTGCATGTGACTCCGCCACGTTTCATCTCGAGAAGATAAACTGTGGCGAGGATTCAAAGCTTTGGAATTTATCCACGAAAGGAAATATTAAGATTGGGTATTATCTACAGTCATGGAAATACTTCGGGAATGTAATAGAGGATATTAGGCGACAGTTTACTTTTTCTGAAACGACACTTGCTAAGGCTAGAGACATCATTAGCAAACTAGCATCTGAACACCAACAACGTACAAAGAGGTTATATAGGGTAAAACCCGTTTTAGTTGGGATACATGTACGACGAGGAGACATTGATTCAGAGGAACGTTTGGTGAAATTCGGCTATGAACTAGCAACACCTGCGTTCTTCTCTCACGCCATGGAGTACTTTCGGAAGAAGTACGTGAATGTCTTGTTTGTTGTGTGTTCTTTAGAAATGCGTTGGACAAAGTGGTACGTGGCCGGTGACGACATCATCTATGTGGAAGGCAACGACTTCGTCATGGATTTGGCTGTCTTAATTAGCTGTGATCACACCCTCACTTCTGTGGGAACGTATAGTTGGTGGGCCGGTTTTATGAGTCGTGGGGAAACTGTTTACTATAAATGGCCTGCTAGAGAGGGTTCAAGCCTGAGGAAGCAATTCTCAGCAAATTATACTGATTATTTCCTGCCAGAATGGGTTGGTTTGAAATAGGATTAGATACACTGTAAATAAAAGTGTGTGAGTGAATAGAGGGTTCAAGCTTGAGGAAACCAGTCTTTACGAATTCTACTGATTATTTCCTGTCAGAATGGATTGGTTTGAAATAGGATTGGATACACTGTAAATAAAGTGTGTTAGTAAAAAGAGGGTTCAAGTTTGAGGAAACCAGTCTTTACGAATTCTACTGATTATTTTCTTCCCCACTTGATTAGTTAGAAATAGGACCGGATACACTGTGAACGTTAAGCGTGTGCGTGAGTTTGGTTTCACGTACTATTCCAGTCATTTTACGGCGGGGATACCAAGAATACCCATGTTAGAATCGAACCCGACGTAACGAGCGACTACTTCAACCGCTAGGCTACCTCCTCGTCGTCCATAAGCATGTCCTTCTGATGAAGGTTCATCGAATATTTGTTTTTTTTTATTCATGATTAATCCAATTTATGAAAAAAAGAAATTATATGAAAATGTATTTGAACGAGTTTTGGTCTCAAAAGCTAGTAATGGCTGGAAAAAGTTTTTATAATATATTATATAATATATATTGGTTCATTTTCAATGAACACTTTGTGACACGTTACAAAACTATATCTTTTCCTCGTATCTTATACTAGAGAGGAACTAAAATTGTTGCTCTGATATCTGTCTGTGCAGTGACCTCGTAAATGCTGTTTAAAGCAACAGTCAACAATACTCGCGTTATGTCATGGCGGCCTGTAAATAATCGAGACTGGACCAGAGAAATCAGGAGTTGTCGTCCTTGTTGTATTTCAGTGACGTCTTTGCGTGTCAGCAACATATAGGAAGCGAAACCTGAATAAATCGTTCACAGGATAAACTGAATGTTCTTGTTTGGGTTCTTCTAAGACTTTTAAACAAAGCCCCTCATGGTATATTCTCCCTGCAGTGTTTTATTGTTCGATTAACAACGACAACGAGTCGTTTACTTCTGTTGTGAGATATCAACATTATGTACATCCTCTTTAGAGATGGTGATAAAATTACAACCTTTAAAAATATTTACCCGTATTTAAATAATGATGACCCCATCAATTGAATCCGACCTCGCCCAGGTGGGTATTTTCCGCCTATTCTCACAATCCCGACGATTACCTGTGGTTAATCTCTCAGTGACGATTGTCATATCTTTCCCAATTTTGGATGCGATCGTTCGGCCAACACGTTTATCTGCGTCGCCTAGCTACATCTATGGGGAACAACTCACTAGACACTCCCCTCTCGAATATAATCTCAATATAAGACGTCATCAAGTTGCGAGCGCATGTTCGAATCTCCAGAAATGACGTCATGGTAGAACAATGTTTTATCGTGAAATAAACCACACTTGGATTCTTTCGTTATTGTGTTTTACGATTTATCGCGTAGCTATCTTATATTGGATGTTCTTGTTGAGTTTCTCTTAAGGCCTTTGTAAAAAAGAACCCAGCCCTAACACCCCAGTCCTACCCCAACCACCTCCGAGTACATAACCATCATCAGCATTTGGCATTATCAGCAAATCAATAACAATATCGACACAGATATCGATGTAGATTGTTTCTGAATCCGTCTTTACATCCCACGAAAAAATGAGAAATGAAAATGTATTTTACTGTTTACCGGGATTCATGAAATCTGTCGTCTGCGCGCTTGACACAAGAGTGCTCTCCCTTTGCTTAATATGTTTTTACGGCGCTTCAATGAGACTTCGTGTTTTTATTAATCATAACAATAGAGCGGCAGCCCAGAGCACTTTGGTCAAACGAACAAGGTACCAATATCCGAACACTGGAACATATTCATATATGGATGTCTGCCGGGGAGCCCCTGCTGCGTGTGGCCCCTGGCCCCCCAAAAGAAGGGGCCATTCAAGGGCTGGATCAAACATTGGAGGTACCACGTGAAAGTAAGTGTAAATGAACTGGTACATCTCACAGAGTACAGAATGGGCCACGCCAGACAAATCTTCCTCTGCAAAAGGCCTGCCAGACACCCCCAAAGAGGGTCCCAAAATTTGGGCTGGGTTAAACATTGGAGGTACCACATGAAATCAACATAAAATGAACTATTTCACTCTACTTATTACAAAATACCCATTGCCTGACACATCCTCTTCTGCATAAGGCCCGCTAGACACACCCTCACCCCACCCCACACAGTTGACCCTCTGTAATCCCAGTGTGCATAATGAAACATTGGACATCAGCTCTGAGAGTCAACAGATGGTCAAATTTATGTTTTGTTCTTAAAGATGGGAGGATTTTATTGAGATAAAAATCACGTATTTATAAAATCAGGTCTCTGAATACTAGTATTGATATCATAGATTAGGCCTATCGTTGAAATGTAATAAAAAAAAGGCATGAATCTGATTCTTGTGAATATATATCTGATCACCTATGAAGTCCTCAAAGCCTGCTATAGCCTGATAGCTTGGCTATGGATTCCTACAAACCCAAACATGCTTAGGTAGTCCTCAAAGCCTGCTATAAGAATGGTAAATGACAGTCCCTAATACCATTTGGAAATCTTTTGGTGATAATTGTGTTTAAAAACCTATGATCTCCGTTTATTTAGCAAGTTTTATCATCTAAAAAGCTGAATTCCGGCCAAATATTTCCATATTTATGGTCGGTCCCGAAAAGTTTATCGTATCGAGAAACCTAACAAAATTGTGGCACAGACCTGTGTGAAAATATCTGTGTAAAAGTTTGTCAGGTCACGGAAAGAGATGAACAGGGTTTGGTGACACGAAAAGATGAATGTTCTATTCTTGATGTATTTTCGTCCTGATCTTCACAACTTTTCTCGGAGTGTCACGGTTGGATACAAAAATATTTTTCTGTTCAAAAGAGAAGGGCCGTAACTGATATTCACCTCGTCAAAACTATCGCACCACCAAATGTGAAATGTAATTACCCATCATGTTTTATGATTTTGTTCTTGTTGTTAAATGTAAATGTATGTTCATAATGTGACATGGTTTTGATTTCAATACTCAAATATCTGTTATGAAACCTCCACTATATATCTAAATGTTCACAAGGCCTTACGTCTCAGATTTGCCATCTATCTGTTTGAATAAACGTCTTACACTAGACAGAGAGTAATGATATTGGCGCGTGAGCTGTGCCACGGTTAAATGTGTTTAGACTTCTATCCCAGGATGACCTAGTGTACATATGTGTGTGTGTGTATATATATATATATATATATATATCTGTTTTTGAATACCCTCAATAAAGAAGGGAAAGCCATACACAATAAATTTAACTTCTTTTTTTCTGAGGTGTGTGACGAGCACGTCACTTCTCTCGAGAAATCGACATCAAGCTTCCCGGGAAAACTTTTCTTACCTCCCGGTAAAATGCCAAGAAAGGTTGCATTAACCTGATCCATTCAGGGTGTTTTCCACAACACAAAATTCTAAACAAGCAATTGTTGATCTGTCACGATTGACTGAATTTTGTATAAATTCCCATATAATTGTTACCATAGAGCTGTGTTTTCAAGCAAATGTGAATTCTTTTGTTGAAAGAAAAGCCGTTTCCAAACCACACCTAGCCTTTTCTTTTCTGCCAACCTCTGAATGCAAATATGAAATCTTAATAATAGTGCTACTGACGTTATAATCACAATATAACTTGAAGCATTTATCAAATCATAAAACACTTTGAACTGAATAAACATGATCATACATGAAGGTCGTGAGAAACCTTCCTTTGACACACCCTGGTTTTTCTTGGCATTGTAATTATCTTAATGGCGTGATTTCCCACTTGAACTAGAATTAACATGATCATACTTGCAGATCATGAGAACCTGTTTCTTGGGCCCCCCTGGTTTGTATTGCAATTGTTATAATCTGAAGGCGCGACCCCCCAGTGTGGTACCTCCAATGTTTAACCCAGCCCAAATTTTGGGACTCTCTCTGGGGGGTCTGGCGGACCTTATGCAGAGGACAATTTGTCAGGTATGGGCCGTGTTGTACTCAGTAACATGTACCTGTTGATCTAAACTTACTTTCATCTGGTACTTTGAATGAATACTCTGGTCAAATTTTACCAGAGTGTCCACTGAGTGCATTAAGGGTCAACATTTGGGGGTGTCTGGCGGGCCTTATGCAGCAGACGATTTGTCTGGCAATGGGGTTTTTATTCTTAGTAGAGTGAAATAGTTCATTTTATGTTGATTTCATGTGGAACCTCCAATGTTTAACCCAGCCCAAATTTTGGGACCCTCTTTGGGGGTGTCTGGCAGGCCTTTTGCAGAGGAAGATTTGTCTGGCGTGGCCCATTCTGTACTCTGTGAGATGTACCAGTTCATTTACACTTACTTTCACGTGGTACCTCCAATGTTTGATCCAGCCCTTGAATGGCCCCTTCTTTTGGGGGGCCAGGGGCCACACGCAGCAGGGGCTCCCCGGCAGACATCCATATATGAATATGTTGGGTTACACAGTAAATGTTCCTGTGTTCGGATATTGGTACCTTGTTCGTTTGACCAAAGTGCTCTGGGCTGCCGGTCTACAATCTGCTGAATATGATGACAACCGTCTTCAACACTGTCAAGATGGTCAGGATTTTGAACACGCACAAATACTGCAAGTACCTACTGGCACAGTTGAAACCCATATTAGCCCCTTAATCCCATATTGGTTTTCTAACTGTAATGTAATGCGGGCAAATTTGAGTTTATATTGTGCGGACAGTTGATTATTTAAAATTGTTTCAAGCAGACCAGGGATAAAACAAACTTTAACATGGTAATTTCTAAAACAGTATCAATTTAATGTGTCACGAACTGAATAATGGCAGACCCATTACCAATTGTTTCGTGTTTTCCAACTTTGTAATAGTTAAACATGCTTACCCTTTTCGCGAACACCTGGTGTCATCACTGATTTTCAGTGGTCCATTCATATAATTTCCACAGCTATTTGCCCTTTACGGCAAGTGGAATCTGTTTCGGCAGAAAATCCTGGCTAGTTATTCTCTTGCATTGACAATTTATATTTCTTGTATAATTTATATTTCTTGATACATTTACAACGAAATCACTTTCGTTGTTCTAATAATTTCATTTTCGTCAGTTTTTTTTTTATTTTCTCTCAATTTGTATTATTATTAAACGTTCAAACCATGAATCCACTAAAGTGTCTTTTAGTGTAGCATAAAACAGATCCCAAGGATAAAACCGAGGTGCGACAGGTCAGCTAAAAGATACGGAGGTTGCAAGTTCGATCCGTTGAATATAAAGCATTTCAACCGACCCAAGCTTACTGATTAGCGAAAACCGTAAACAAATCAAATTAAGTATCGCCTTATCCTAACGGTGATCACAACACTGACAAAACAAGAGGTGTGAATGTATTTTGAACATGGTAAAACACAATATAACATTGGACAGCACTCTGCAATCTGTGTTAGTCACTGTTTACTCAGTTGTTGAAATATTTGTCTATGCTGATAACGAGAGACAGTAGGGACCAATCTGCCTGTACTGAAACATTAACTGTAAACAATGAACGGAAGCTGCCCAACTGGAGATGGCACGGTCTCTACATAAGGATGTTTTCCAGCGACCATGTCGAATTTGCAGCAATCGGTTACCCGGTGACTTTTATGCTTAAATCTGTGAGGATATACCTTATTTATCCCAGGGGGCTTGGGTGGGTTTTATGCTTGAGTGTTTGGTGTTTGCTTGTGTGCTTGCGTGTGTGTGTGGTTGCTTGCTTGACGACAGTCGAGGACACACCACGCATATATTCTTTAACACTAGGCTAACCCATCACCCCGCATGTCAAGGAGAAAATTGTCTTGTTTTATATACAAAACATACGT